CTTCCCGCGCCTTTCGGGGGTTGCCCCGCGCCGAGCTGCTCCGCTCCCCGCGCAAAGACGGCGCTACCACGCTTCGTTCTGGCCCTCACTCCTTCGGGCCCCCCCTCGCCAGCCGGGCGTTCCCAGTTCGCTTCTGGCGCTTGCCATTCTAATGCAGCTGTCCTGGGTGAGGTGCTGAGCCCTGCTATCAGCAGTTCACATGGCATTTCTATGCGTGCTGCCATTCCGCACAGGCGTTCGATGTCTACCTTATCCATCGTATTCCTGGTTGGCAGCATCAGGCGTGTGGCCGATCCTTTCAGGTTTTCGGTGTCGACCCCTTTCCATCGTTTTCCTGGCTGGCTCTTCCTCTCGTTCTCGGAGAGGGGGTTGCCCCGGATCCTTTCACTCGGGAGTGAGTGTGCGAGCTCGATGGCGCCACTCGTACTGTTTCCTGATCAGTGACGTATTCCAGCCCATCGGTGGTAGCATTACCTCTTGGAGTGTACTGCAAGCGAGCAGCCCCCCCTCAGGGGCTGCGTGCATGGATCCTCGTGTGGTTTATCCTACGTCAAGTCCTACACGCCATCAGCGGTCACTTGTCAGCTTCGCTGTCTGTGACCTTGCGGCGACATTTTGGCTGCGTGTAGCTCCTTGGTTCAATCCGTGCATCGGCACAGCCCCCAGATCCTGGTCCTGGTTGCAGTTTGCATCGTCCGTCGGCAAGGTTTCGGGCCCTGCCCCGCTTCCTGGCACCATCTCGCGCTGCCCGGCAGCGGCCGTCGGCCCCCGTGCGCTAGGGAATTAGGTTCGCGCGTAGCCCGCCCGACCTCTTGACGCTGCTGGCGCGCTCGCTTGCGGCCGCGACGAAAAAGGTAACCCCACCAGCAATGTGTGCGCCGTCGAACACGCCGCCAGTTGGGTCCAGGTGTCCTTACCTTCTGAGCGGCGGTTGAGCCTCGTTGCCTAGCTTGCATGTTTCCGTGCATTTTCCGCCGCTTGTTAGCTGCACGCGTTCGGCCCCGTTTTTGGCCGTTGTAATTTAAGTCTTTGCTACTCGGCATCTTCCTGACGGCGCGCGGCTCTCCCGCTTGCGCTCGCGAGCAAAAAAGTAACCCCGCCAGCCTGGACGGCCCGCGGCCTGTCCGCTTGCGCTCGCGATCAGAAAAAAGAAAGAACAAAAAACATCCAGAAACGATGCCCAGAGGAATTGCCTCGACCAGGGAAGTGGGCAGCACCCAGACGAAGGGTCCCCGAGTGGAGGCCTCTTGGAGCGTTTTGGGGGCCTCTTGGCGGTCCCGGGCGCCTCTTAAAGCGCCTCGGGTGCCTCGGAAAGCTTCTTGGGACCTCTTGGGGGTCTATTGGGGGCATCTTGGAGGCCTCTTGGGCGCCTGTTGGAGCCTCCTGGGCGCCTCTTGGGGCCCTCTTGAAGCGCTCTTGGGAGCCTTGGGAGCGCTCTTGGAACCCTCTTGCGCCATCTTGGAGCCATCCTGAGGCCTCGTACGGCCATCGGAAACGAAACGGTGAGAAAGTCAAACGCATGAATTTCCCAAAGGTTCGGGAAGGATGTTGGCCTCTTCGGGGCCTCCTGGGGGAGCGCTTTGGTCACGTGGGGCCGTATTGGAGCTGTCTTGGGGCTTCTTGGAGCATCGTGGGGGCCATATTGAGGCATTTCGGGATATCTTGACCCATTTGGGAGGTCATCTTGGGCTCCACCAGGCGCTCTTAGAGTCATCTTGAGCAGTACCCCCCCTCCATGAGGCCAAACTGTGGCCAAAACCTTTTGTGCTAAATCGATGATTTGGGGATTCTCGCCGAGGCCTCTTGGGGCGTCTTGGGTGCCTTTGGGGGGCCTATTGGGAGTCTTTTGGGAGCCTCTTGGGGCATCCTGGGGGCCTCTTGGGGGCCTCTTGGGGCCTCGTGGCCACCTCTTGGGGCCATCGTGGGGCACCCTTGGGAGCCTTGGGAGCGCACGTGGGGCCATGTCGGAGGAGATCGATCAAAGAAGGGGGGTTCCTTAATTAGCGTTGGCCCCCGAAGGGGCCGAAATGGGGCCCAAATCCGAGTAACACAAAAAAGTTTGGTTTCCTCGCCGAGGCCGTTTTGGACGCTCCGACCGCTCGCGGAACGCCCCGTCCAGGTCCAGGGGAGGGGGTAGGAGGAGGGGTAAACCTTTCCCCAAAGGAGAAGAAGGGGGTGGAAGAGGAAACACCCTAAACCACCTACGCCCTAAAGGGTTGGTGGGATATGTCCGTGCAGCGGCAGGGACAGCACATCGCAGTGCGTTATTTCCACATGTATGTAACTTGCATCAGTGCAGACAGGACCGCCAGCAGCTACATACCCACCCCCATATCTGCATTATTTTTACACCGGCACGCACGCATTCACCGTAAGACCGAAGCAGCACAGCTGGTGGTATGGGAGTCTACGTTCTTCTGGCGTGCCTACATCGTGGACATGCGTGGCGACTGCGATCAGCGCGGGTCCCCACAGGGCTTTCTCACCCACTTGACCTCAAACCATTACCATGAGAAGCGCGTGGGTCCCCGAAAGGCTTTCTCACCCACAGCGTGATAAGGCTCCACCAATGTCCACTCCCTACCGGCTCACATTCTCCCTACCGGCTTCCCCCACCTTTCTCATCCAACCTCATCTATCCCCCCTCTTGCGGTGGGGTATGAGTCGGGTAAGTGGGCGGGGGGGGGTCGGAGTCACCGCGGGTCGTCCTGGCAAGGGCCAGGGCGGCCGCGGCCGCCACTTGGGCAGACGCCACCAGGGCACCCACTCAACCTTACCCTTCACCTGCCAGGGCCGCCCAGCTAGGGCACTCACCCACCCACCTTCTCCGCCGCCCACAGGGCACCTCCGCGCCACCTCCTCCTCGCCGAACCGCCGACACAGATGGCAGAAACCACCCCCGCGCACGGTGAAACTCCCCCGAGCAGCCATCATTCACGCCTGCCTCGGCGGGGGAGGGTCCGAGTCGTGGGGATGGTGGCTGCTTGGGGGAGTTTCCAATGTGCAGGGGGTGAGGCCTTTCTGCCATCTGCCTTGGCGATCGTGGCTGGTGCTGCCTCGCACCACCGCCAGGGGAGGGCCCCAATCTCCCTCGGACCTGGTGGAAGCCCCCAGGGCGGCCAGGAGGCCGACGTGCTTGGAACCCTTCGCCTGCCAGCAGGCGAGGGATCCCGCCGTCGGCCTCTGGGCGGGCGCCTGCGGGGGATTCTTATGGGCAGAGGGAGCGGCCCCTTTGGGCCCTTCCCCGACGCGAGCTGCACCCCGCCAAGTGCCCCGTGGAAGAATCTTCGCAACGTCATCCTGCAGCGCCAGCCTCTGCGTTTGTCATTCTTCTGCCGCCACGCAAACACATGCCTCACGCCGATGCTGGCAGCCTCCCTTTTCTCCACCCTTTTTCGAAGTTTTATCATATCCTTGCTCATCCCCTCCTGTCATACCATCATGTGGTGTTGGGTCCTCGTTTTGAGACGGTGCCCCGCGTTCTCTTCCTTCTCCTCCCGCCTACTTCCTCCTCCCCCTCCTCCCTTCTCTCCCTCCTTGCCTCTGCTCCCCGCATATCAGCAACCTCGGCAAACCCCTCACACGCTTCGTGGCCCCATAGGGTGCTCCACCGAAAGCCCAAGCGGCTGCGTTCGCATGCGCCCACCGCACCCATTTCGGCACACCCCTTACACGCTTCGTGGACCCACAGGGTGCTCCATCGAATGCCCCAGTACCACCGCCCGCATGCGTCACCCACACCCAATTTGGCATACTCCTCACACGCTTCGTGGCCCTACAGGGAGCTCCACCGAAGGCCATAGTGCCACCGCCCGCATGCGCCACCCACCGCCCGCGTGCGTCACCGCACCCATCACACGTTTCGTGGCCCCACACGAAGCTTCACCGAAGGCCATAGTGCCACCGACCGCATGCGCCACCCACACCAATTTCTGCACATCCCTCACACGCTTCGTGGCCCTATAGGGAGCCCCACCGAAGGCCCCACTGCCACCGCCCGCATGCGTCATCCACACTCCTGTCGGCACACTCCTCACACGGTTCGTGGCCCCATGGGGCGCTCTACCGAAGGCCACAGTGCCAACACTTCTCACATGCCCCATCGTGAGCTCCATCGAAAGCCCCGGTGCCACCGCCCGCATGCGTCACCCACGCCCATTCCGACACACCCCTTACACGGTTCATGTCCCCATAGGGAGCTCCGTCGAATGCGCCAGTACCACCGCCCGCATGCGTCACCCACACCAATTTCGGCACACCCATCACACTTTGCGTGGCCCCATCAAGAGCTCCACCGAAGGCCATAGTGCCACCGCCCGCATGCGCCACCCACACACATTTGTCACACCCCTCAGACGTTTCGTGGCCACATAGGGAGCTCCAACGAAGGCGCCAGTGCCACCGCCCACGTGCGTCACCCACATCCATTTCGACACACCCCTCACATGGCTCGTGGCCCCATAGGGAGCTCCACCGAAGGCGCCAGCGCCACCGCCCGCGTGCGTCACCCATACCAATTTCGTCACACCCCGCATGTTTCGTGGCTCCAAAGGGAATTCCACCGACGGCCCAAGTGTCTGCTTATCGCGTGCGCCCACTGGACAAATGTCGGCACACTCCTCACACTTTTCGTCGCCCTGTAGGGAGCTCGTCCGAATGCGGTGCATAAAACGACTGTGCTCACAACTGCATATAGTTGGGTCTTTCGCCATGCTAATTTGTTCGTTTTTGTTCTGCTCCCCCAGGGGGGCCCGACCGGGCCCCCCTGGGGGAAGCGGCAGATTTCGACGAACCCAACAGCCGTCAGGAGCACAGGGGCACAGGAGAACGGGATGAGCAGGGTGAGGTTGAACTGGAGGATGGGAAGGAACAGGGCAAGGATGACGATGCGGAGGCAAAAAGTGGCAGGCTGGTGCTCCGGAGCTCCCGTGTCCTCGGCCCGTCCCCCCGCCCCGGGGATGCTCCTGGGTTCCCAGACAGCCAATCTCTCTTCCGACCAGGAGTGGCACACCATGGTGCGCGTCCCGCGGGAGAGCATAGGCCGCGGACGCAGAAGTCGGCACTCTCTCTTCGTCCCGTGGGCGCACCGTTTGCGGTGCTCGTGTCAGGAGTTCCAGCATCTCGAGTTCTGACGGATTTCCAGCACTTCGATGTCAGTTTTGCATCTCGCCGCTCTGCTTATCAACCTGCACCCTGGAATCACAATCACAAGTAATACGAAGCGGAAGTCGAGAGCATGAATGATCCAGGCACTAAGCTTCCCACGTATTGACATCCAGCATGGCTTACTTAGCTTTATTTCTGGCCTCTTCGAAGGACTCCACATTGGCATTGCACGTGCAGCGCGGCATCGCGTTCGATGTAGTTTTGGCCATGTGCCTGTCAGTTGCATGTCGCATCTTTTGCTCGAGTGGACATGCAGCTTGCGATGCGTGACGTTTCGTAGATCGTTGGAGCGTGAGTCTCGGGTGGAAGCCTGGCGTGCTCGTAGCCGCATTTCCCTGGCGGGCAGGCCGATAATGTGACCTTCGATTATGAGCATGCTGGGTTGAAAGCTCCGAAGATTGGATGGATGGGTTGGCAACGCACGTGCGAGTGGCAATATTATTCGATTGGTGATGAGGGCTGCTAGGGCACAGGGCGCAGGGCAGCATTTGAGCAACTGGCGGGAGGACATGCGTTCCGGACTGGATCCTCCCCAGGCCTGTTAATGCCACAGACAGAGCGGCAGACGGCTGAGTGCGAGGCGCTGCCGAGGCGGCTGCGATGGGAATGGTGGGAGGAATGGGGGGGTGAGCGATGAGGAGGCAGAGGTGGGGGGCGAGGAGGAGGAGGCAGAGCTGGGGAGCGGACGAGTGAACGTTGGGAGCCAAGCCTGGAAGGCGGCTGTCACCGCCTACTCAGAGCGTGCTCGGTAGCCGAGTTGGCATGTTGGTCAGGAGAGCGTTTTTTTTCAGGCGACCACGGGCGTCGCCGGGGAGGTTAGAGAGGAGGCCAGCAACGTCACGTTTTGCGCCGGCGCTCTAATTTTGTAGGAATAGCCAAAGACCGCTCGGATAGCCAGACGTCGCCGGCACGAATTGTGACGTTGCCAGGGGGCCAGCGGGGAGGGGGGGAGGGGGCTGGCAACGGCTGGCATCGCGAAAACTAGGAAAAACGCTTTCCAATGTCGTGCGCCAGCTGCCCACCAGGTCGTGGTTCAAAGCAGACGACTGAATGCGGTCTTCGATGCCAGGGTCTTCAGGTCAGTTGCGTTGTTGTAAGATTTTCTACAAGGTCGCGGGCCCATGGATGACTGGCTTGACCAGGTCAGGGCTTCTTGGAGTGACGACCCGCATCGAGGGCACGGCACCGAGACAGGAGGGATGTGATGGGAGGGGCGGCAAGGGCTCTCGTGGGCGATGGAGCGATGGACGGGTCGAGCACCTCTGAGGGAGGAGGAGGAGGAGGAGGAGGAGGAGGAGGAGGAGGAGGAGCCCGCCGCCTTGTGGGGGGGGGTGAGGAAGGAACAGGAGGAGGGAAGCTCTTCTTGTGCGCCTGTGCATTCTCATTTTATATTCGTGCGGGCTGGCGTGCACTGTATGTCAGACCTGTCGTTGTCTCGAGAGTCTTGAGAGGAGGTCGGGGTGGGACGGGAGTGGGGCAGGGCGGCGCCCACCCGAGGCAGTCGCTCACGCCGGTCGACCTGTCGGCGCGGGAGGCCAGGCTGGCCGCGCTGCAGGCTGCTGCGCCCCCCGCCGCCAGCTCACGCCCACGCCCAGAGCTGCGCATCCGATGTCTGGGCGGGGTGGAGTGGCGAAGCAAGGGTGTGGCTTCTGAATCATAATATGATTCAGAAACCTCCCCCCGAAAAGCTGGCCCAGCATTTCTTAGCCAACTTGCTGGAAAGCTAGCTCAGTTTTGTAAGGGGATCGATCGCTGTGGGTCCTAGGAAAGAATCGCGTACGTTCCTGGTTCCAAAAGCTGGCCCAGCGTTTCCTTAAGAAACTTTGAAAAGCTGGCGCAGCTTTCTGCTTGCTAATTTTCTGAATCCTGTTTTAGACTGTAATTGGCAATCGCTTTTGTTATTCATTATTTTGCCGATCGGCGCGGGCCCCCCAAAGCCCCCCTCCCCCCCTATGGAGTAGATCTTGGCTGTTTTTGTTGGCGCCTGTTTCGATCGGGTGGGGTCTCCCCCAGAGGCGGCACTCTTGCAACAGTCGCACTAGGCAGAGGTCCGGAGCCAGACCCCCCCCTCCCCCTCTTCCGCCCAATGTCGAAACGCCGAATAAAAAAACGCTCACTTGCCTGGCGTGCATCCACAGAAGGTCGCGATCGTGACGGTGACAGCGTCATCGCTGATACCAGAGAGCAGGAGTTATCAGCAAGAGCAGCGGCAAAAGCAAGACAGCAGCAATAGCAACTAGCCGCAACTGATTGATGTGCGCAAGGCGTGGATCTGTTTTTCTTGGCGCTAAAGAGCAGCCACTGGGGATTCATCAGTTCTACCGTCCGATGACGAAGACGCCTACGGCGGACCACAGCCGCCATCTGCCTTTTGGAAGCGCCTGTGTGGACAAGCGTTGAGCCGAAGCCTTGCCAAGCCATTGGACTACGTGTCCCCCCAGCCGTTGTGGAAACATTGTGGGGGAACACTTTGTGGGAGGAGGAGAGGAGGATAGGAAACGAGAAAAAAGAGAGGGACGAGAGTGAGGATGAGGAGGCGGAGGAGGAGGAGGAGGAGGAGGAGGAGGAGGAGAAGGAAGGGGAGCAGGAAATGGATGGCTCTAGGGAGCCTTGTGAGTCCTCCAAAGTGCTTCTGAGGGCCTCTTGGCGCCTCTTGGGGGCCTCTTGGGGGCCTCTTGGGAGCCTCTTAGGTGCTCCTGGGAATCTCTAAAAGGCCTCTCGGCCTTCGGAGGCCGACTTTGGGGGCCCCCCTCTGGGCAGTCGTGGGGCCCCTTTGTGCGAATGTGGACCGTCTTGGGGGTTTGTGGGGCCATCTTTGGGCACTCTTGTGCCGTCTTGGGGGCCTCTTGGGCCGCCTTTGGGCAATCTTAACCGGTCTTGGCGCCCTCTTGGAGTCCTCTTCGGGCCCTCTTGGGTCCCTCTGGGGCTGTCTTGGAGCTACCTTGGAGGCCTGCGGGACCGACTGCGGATGCCCGAATCCCGAAATGGCGAGATCGCGACAGCTAATGACACACACACACACACACCAAAGGAACATGAATAGTTTCCGGTCTTCTTGGAGCCCTCTGGGGGCGTCTTGGAGGTTCCTTTGGTCGTCTTCAAGGCACCTTGGGCCGTCCTGGAGTTATCATGGGCCGATTTGGGGGCCATCTTGGTCGTCTTGGAGGCGTCTTGGGCAGCCTTGAAGGCAGTCTTACACTGTTTTCGGTCGTCTTGGATGCCATATTGGGGCATTATTGATGTCTTGGATGGCTTTGCGTTTATACTTGGATCCATCTGTTTTGGTGTGGTTTGTGAGTTTTTTAGATGTCTTCTGGTGGGCCAGCGGGATAGGCCTAGACCCAAAGCCAACCTTCTGGAAGGGTTTAGCACGCCAGCAATCCCTGTGACAAATCAACAGGGGGCGGTGGATCTAGTGACCTTCGGCCCATCTCGGGCATCTTAGAAGCCTCTTAGTCTTGAGAGGCCTCTGGAGGGCTCTTGGAAGCCTCTTGCGGATCTTTTAGAGCCTCTTAGAGGACTCTGTGCGGCATTTTGAGGGCCTCCCTGGAGCTTCTTGGGGGCCTGCTGGCGGTCTCGGGGGCAATCTTGGAGGAAAGGTCTCGAGATATAAGTTCGTTCTCCATTTCTTGGACCCCTCTTGAGGCCGTCTTGGGGGCCGTCTTGGGGGCCTCTTGGGCCCTCTGGGGGGCCTCGGGGTGCGCCTTGGGGCGATCCTTAGGGCCCCTTGGGCCGTCTTGGACGCTCTTCGGTCTTTGTTGACGACGATCTACAAATCATTATTCCAAGCCGCGGTCCCGAGGCCGTTCGAAAAGCTAGATGCGCGGGAGATGCCCAACGAGCGATTAGAAGCGCCAGAGAGCGCCCAGAACTCGGGGTGTGGACCTTGTGCAGATAGTTCACAATCCTCGATACAGAGAACTCGAAGGGACCTGAGGACACTCCACTCATTGCCTGCTGCACCGAGGCGGAGATCAGCAGTAACGAGACTAAAGATGATAGTGGTATCGGTAACGATGATACGTAATGGGAAGTCTGTAGATTTCCCGCCGCTTACCCCAGGCTGGAAAGGTCCAGCGCCACCATGGTATGGCCGCATGTTGTTTGGCTGGGCGAGGAGTCGCATATCGGATAGGGCTGTTCTGCATAACAGCGCAGTGCTCCACTCAGAACTGGGGGGGAAGCGCCTGCGGAGAAGAAAGGAATTGGGTGGAAGCCAGGAGGTTCAGGATGAGAAGAGATCGTTAGAGGAGATGTTGGAAGCGGAGGGGAGGGGAGGGAGTGAGGATAAGGGGGGGAGTGATGAAGGGAGAGGGCGAGGGAGGGAGTGCGGGAGCGGGGGAGAACGGGAGGTGGGGAAGGGGGACGTGGGAAGGAGAAAAGGTGACGGTGTGAGGGAATATATATATATATATATATATATACACAGAGATCGATATATATATATATATAGAGAGAGAGAGAGAGAGAAAGAGAGAGACAGAGAGAGAGATAGAGAGAGAGAGAGTGAGGGAGAGAGAGGGAGGAGAAGAGAGAAAGAGGGACGTACAGTACGCGCGTCAAACAAGACACCAGCCTGCCAGCGTGTGCCCCACGACGAGTTCCTTTCCCCCGATGCGGCAGTAGAGCTCTGGGGCGCCACACGAAGCTCAAGGCCGGCAAAGGATGTGCCCCTAAGATTGCTAACAGCACGATCTCCCATGGCGTGTGTGCCCGCCTCAGAAACATCTGGCGCTCCAATCCTTGACTGTGCGCGGACCCGCCCCGGAGATCTGGACCACCTCCGCAGGGCCTGCTTCTCCTCCTGCGCCGTGCTCTGACAGTCCCAGGACCCGTGGGCCCCCGGAGGCTGAACATAGCCCCAGACTGGCCGACCCAGCCCGGAGGTCTGGACCACTTCCATGAGGCCCAGTTTTCATCCTGCGCCGTTTCTTGGCGGTCCCGAGGTCCGTTGAGGGCCCCTGCATGCATGGAGGCTGAAAAGAGCCTGTTTTTCTTTAGATCCAGGCAAGTTTACTTGCATGGCGTTCGCCCCCCCCCCCCCCCTCTCCCTCTTCGCCCCTCTTCCATCGAACACGAGCGTGCAAGTGCCTTTCGACTTGCGTGATTTTCGCACGTCGAATTGTTTTCGGCTTGCTTCAGACTCAGCCCCCCCCCCCGTCCATGCAAGTAAACTTGCCCGAATCCAAAGAAAAACAGGCACCTGACAGTCCCGAGGTCCGTGGAGGGCCCCCGGAGGCCGAAAAAGCAGCCCCGAACTGGCCGCTCCGACTCCTGTCACGAGCCTCGGATCTCTCGGGCATGTGCGCAGAGAGCCTGCCGCTTCCGGCGCCGAGGCCTCGCCGACGCCCGCCCCGCCGTGGCACCGGCAGGACCTCCGGCAGGAGACGCCGCCCCAGGCTGCTCCGGGCAGGCCCGCCCGCGCTGCCGCCCCCGGCGGCGGCGGCGGCGGCCCGCGGCGCGTCTCGGCGGCGGCATCCGAGCCCTGCCCTCGCCGAGCCACGGCTCCGGCAGCTCGAGGGGTGGCGGGGGTCAGAGAGCTCCTGGCGGGCAAGAGGCTTGGCGCGTCCCCTTCGGGTTCGCCCCGTGCTCGTCCCACCGTCGGGGCCATCACGATGACGGCGGCGTCAGCGGCGGAGTGGTTATTTGTCGACTATTGTTGGGTGTCGGCTGCCCTCAATCAGGGGCCAAACAATGGACGTGTGCCAATTATTTCATTCGGCGGTTCTTAAAGGCCTATTGCCGTTAGGGTTGGGAATCCGTCGATCACGTGGCGAGATCTGAACCGTACCCCCGCACCCCAGCGATTCAGAAGAATCGTTGGTTGGCGGGGACAGGTCTCGGAAGTTGCCGCCTACCACATGATGGCATCTTTGTTGCCGTTTTCGGCCTTGGGTTCTCGCCTGGGCTCGGGACACTTGAAGAACGGCTCGGGGCGAAAAGCTGGCCCCGGGAAAAGGGCTGCGGAGACTGCGCGCTGAAACAATTAGTGCATCAAGGGCCCCATCCTCGTCTGGCGCCGCCCCGATGACTGGGCGCGCCTGGGACGCCGCTGCCTCAGAGGTCGAGGCCCTGGAGAACTGGGAGCGGCCAGTTTTTGGATTGATCTCGGCCTCCGAAATGCCCTCAACGGGCCCTGGGACCGTCAAAAGAGAACTCGGATAACAGCTAGCCCTCGGGAAGTTGTCCAGACCTCTTGGGGTCCCCGCACCAACAAACATTGAAGCGCGGGGTGTCTTGGGACCACGTATCTGCTCCAGCGCGTAGTGGGTCCTGAAAGCGACAGATCCGTTTTGTATTTGTTTACCCGAAAAAACATGTTTCGTGTGTTCAGTCGAAATACCATTTGTGGCGCCATTTTTGTGACGTGTCCAGCTCAGTTGTTTTACCGTGCTGCTCTGGGTCCAGATCACAGTTTTTTGAAGACTGGATCCGACAATTTTTCGATCCGGTTCCGAACGTCTTTCGGATCCATGGGTTGCCCACGCCATTTCGGTGAACCGCTTTTGTTCCGTTTCGGTGAAAGGTCATTTGCCAGTTTCACGATCCAGAGGCATTTTCTAACGGTATGAAGCGGCTCTACCGTTTCCAGGGCCCACTGAGCTCCAGCGCAGATGGTGCCATGTGCGTCACGGGCGCACAGCTTGTCGCCCAGAGGAGGAAAAGGTGCCAATACCGCTGCTCTCGTGTTGGGGAGCTCTCGTCGCCATGGCTGGATTCTCTGGGAGATCATAGTCAGATCGCACCCCATGCAGGAGAGGTCTGGGGAGTACCGGTATCGGTACCTGTGCCCCCCAGCACGTCACGCACGCGCGCGCGAGCGAATGCAGCTGCAGCATGCAGTTGCATTAGGCGCGCGCGCACGCGCACGTGCACGCAGGCGCCCGGACACGGGCACTGCTTTCCTTTTCTCGAGGGGCATCGCCGGACGTCTGCAGACCCCGTCGGCGTGCCGCGCGGCGTTCACGGCGGAAAGTCAGAGACGGGACGAGCGACAAGGGCCCCTGTGTAGGGCGACGAGACCAATCCGCATCCACTGCCCCGGGCCAGGGGCGGTGGGTATGTACCCTAGATCCTACTACTTTGGGCTCGTGGACGAAGCTCGCCGTGGCCCGAATGGCTTCCTGTGTCCTTGCTATCCTTTCCACCTTGTAGCAATATGCTTTTCCTTTCATCAAACGATGCCATGAGTCCGATCGTTTCCCCAATATGTCGCTGGCCATCAGAACTGAGGGATGCAGGCAAGGCGGCGGACGGATGTACTACAGAAGATTATTCTAGAGAGAGACGTGCTCGGCTACAGCAAGTTTCTTCTACGCTACGCCCACGTGTCCGCGAACTTAGTGTATCTTCGCCTCGCGTGGATCTACTTTTTCCTGCGTGTGCTCTTTCCGCTGATCGACTACGTGATCATAGTGTGGAGGGAGATTTCCTCGAGGGGCGGCCTGGCAAACTTTGCTGCGCTCGGCGGCGCCCAGGAAGCTGACCTCATTGATCCTGGCTTCGCGATGGCGTACGCAAAGGCGGACTGGACCCAGCTATACATCTGGGCGATGACCGTCCTCACCGCTTTCAACATCTACTTCTTCTGCGTGATCCGTGCACGGGGCCGCATGCCCAGCCACGCGGCGGCGAGCTTTGAGGCGCGGACAGGGGCGTGCAGGTGAAGGGCAGGCCGCGGTCCGTACGGAGCGCGCGTCCGGGCGCTGTTGCCTCGCGAGCGCCGAACGAGCAGAGCATGGAATCGGCAGGAAAAAAAATTATTCTAGAGAGAGAGAGAGTGAGATATTGAAAGAGCGAGAGAGAGAGAGAGAGAGAAACAAAACATATATAGCACAAACTAGTGAGAGAGAGGGAGGGATAAAGAGGTAGAGAGAGAGAGAGTGAGAGAGAGAGATAGAGAGACATGGAGAGAGAGAAAGAGAGAGAGAGAGAGAGAGACAGCACCTGCAGTGGCATCAGCAAAAGGCGAGGAGGAGGAGGAGGAGGAGGAGGAGGAGGAGGAGGAGGGGGAAGAGAGGGATACTGAGAATTATGAGGGACTGGAGGAACTGCGTCTCTCGCAAGGCCGAAGCCGAAGCAGAAGCAGGAGCAGAGGCAGAGAACCAGGCAGCCGCATGACTACACCTGTCTGGGAGGCCCGTGCAGGTATCCGAGAGGCTGTGCCAAGGCTGTCTCCTCGGGCCTTCCGAGAACTGAGCATCTTCTGTGGGTGGAGGGCAAAGTGTGAAATCTGAAATGCCGTTTCGATGGATTTTCGAGGCCCTGAATCTGCAAGGGGTGAATCTCACAAGACGGATAGATTTTCGAGGTGCAGAAGCCCACATGTATGGCTTGCACCCGGAGAAGGACGCGCCGTTGCCCTCCAGCCCTTAGCTGCCCCGATACGCACGCCTCGATACGCAGCACGCTGCTCCAGCCAGCTCCCTGGCCCCGCCGCAGCTGCTCGCCGCGCCCCTGGGCCGCAGGCTTCCCGCCGCGGCCGCCGCCGAGCTGCCGAGCAGCCGCGGGCCCGGGCCCAGCGGCGGCGGTGCGCGGCGTGCGCTCGCAGCAGGCGCCACCGCCCCGCACACGGCAGGTGCGCCGTGGAGGAGGAAGATGAGGAGGAGGAGGACGAGGAGGAGGAGGAGGAGGAGGACCAGTGTAAGCCCACGAATCCTCCACGATGTTGGAATCAACCCTCCCTCCAAGCTCCCTCTTCATAGGCACCTACAGCGGTTCATTCCCATTGAGGGAACTGCCTCGTTGGAAGACAACCGTTTGAAGATCCTACCTGAGGCATGCCGAAACATTGTTCTTGGGATTTCAACGCCACGTATCAACCTGACTGCTGCGTTTTGGCGATCCGAACTCGTGCCATAACGCCATTGTTTTAGTTCAACACCGCGAACCAACATAACTGTTGCACCCGCATAATCCTGAATCATTCCAGGACTCCATTTTTGGTACGTTGATCCTGGGATTCCGTGGAACTCTTGCAAATTTTTTAAAACGAATGTGCGCGGCCCTAATGGGAGAGCCACATTTTGAAAACGATCCGCCCTCAATCCGTGAATTTATTGCAAATGTTGAAGACGAATGCGCGCGGCGCTAAGGCGAGAGCCACATTGTGAAACGGACCCGCCCTCAATCCGTGAAACTGTTGCACATGTTTGAAACGAATGTGCGCGGCCCTGAGGCGAGAGCCACATTTTGAAAACGACCCGCCCTCAATCCGTGAAGCTCTTGCAATTTTGAAGAACGAACGCGCGTCGCTAAGGCGAGAGCCCCATTGTGAAAAGGACCCGCCCTCAATCCGTGAAGTTCTGGCAACTGTTTAAAACGAATGTGCGCGGCCCGAAGGCAAGAGCCACATTTTGAACACGACCCGCCCTCGATCCGTGAAGCTCTTGCAATGTTTGAACCGAATGTGCGCGGCGCTGAGGCGAGAGCCCCACTGTGAGAACGACCCGCCCTCAATTCCGTCAAACTGTTTCACATTTTGAGAACGAGCGTGCGAGGCGAAACTGCCGGTTCGGACCCCACCCCCTCCGGAAAACCAAAAGGCGTCACTATACCAGTTCGAACCCCCCCCCAGAAAACCAGAGAGGGACCACGGCCGGTCCGAGCCCTCCCCCCCCCTCCGGAAAATTGGGGGGGGAAATCGCTACCGGTTCGAGCCCCCCCCCCTAAAACCGGGAGGGGCCGCTACCGGTAGAAATGGTAATAGGGGTTACCTCGCAGGTTTGTACGTATGAATTTGTTTATCCTTGTGGAGTTGTTGTGAGGGTCTGTCGTAGAAGACCAGTGAGGGCTTCGCCCTTCCTCCTCGCACCTCCCTGCAGGAAGACGCCCGCGTCAAGGGAGGGAAAGCCAGCCCAACCCCATCATGGGCTCCTTGCCGGGCACCGCCGCGCCCTCCAGTTTCAGTGTCATTATTTTGGCGCGCGCGTGCGCCAATCATTCGTTTTCCTGCTTGTTGCTTTGTACGCTCGCTTGCTTTGCGGACGGGGGCACGTTTATACACTCAGATTGTTCTGCTGCCGTCTCGCGTTGGGCATTTGTGAGAACACCTCCTATGTCGTTGGCCGTGGGGATTGGGCACGTACGCGCGAGTACCCCGTTTCTTCTGCTTGCTGGTTTCTTTCCTTCTCGCTGTGTCTTCGCTTTGTATTCGCCTTGTCTTCTTCCTTGTTCTCGTCCTTCCTCGAGTTGCCTCGCTTTGTCTTCGTCCTTGCTCTCGTCATCATTTCTCTGCGTTGTGGCCGTGTCTCACGTTTTTTGGCATGGCATTTTGCTCATCTGTGCAAGCTGTCGTGCGGACTGTGTGGGCCTTGTCGACGAGTGCGTTGCTGTGGTTCAAAAACATTCGAGCCCTTTGCAATGCCACCCCCAACGCACAAATATCCACAGCGCAACCAACTCTTCCCAAGTCTAGCCACATGGCCTATACTATGCCTCTGCCGTCTGCCTCTCCTTTCTGCCTCGTCGAGAAGCATCAATACTCACCCACCCCCCATCCAGGCTGCCGGGTGAACATCGACTGGAGCACAGCACGGCCAGTCAGCTGGGTTGTGATGAAATCGGACAGCTGCCAAGCTCCGCTTGACTCTCGTCTGCTGACCTTGCGAAGCCGCCCACGCGCGTGCCTCACGCGGCGCAGGGCGGTGTGGAGGTCGAAAGGGCCTTTCCCAGGCGAGGAGTTGCCCAAGAGCAGGCGGTGTGCAAACATTCTCTGGATCCAGTCTCCTCTCGCCTGCCTTCCCAGTCGTGCTGCCCTCGCCTGGCTTTCCCAGGGCGTCCTCAGTCCTTCGGTGAGCTGTTTCAGCCGAGCCGCATCCCCGCGAGTCTTGGACCCTCGGAGCCCCTCTCTTGCAGGGCCCACCTCAGGGCCCGACGTTGCGGAAAGCTGCAGCATCGCGAAAAATCACCACCACGGCCCTGGACCCGATGTTTCTGCTACGCCCGATCGAGCTGTGATGGTCCTGGGACCGCGTTCCTCCTCCCCCGCCCCTTCCTCCTTCTCCTCCTCCTTCTCCTCCTCCTCCGCCTCCGCCTCCTCCTCCTCCTCCTCCTCCTCCGTCTCCTCCTCCTCATCCTCCCCCTCCTCCTCCTCCTCCTCCTCCTCCTCCTCCTCCTCCTCCTCCTCCTCATCCTCCCCCTCCTCCTCCGCTCCTCCACCATCCCCCGCAACTGGGCGAGAACGCCCCGTGTGAACAGAGGTGCAGCGCCCAGATCTCGGGATGGGCCCTCGGAGAGACCGGCTCCTGGGCCCCACGGGCCCGGGGCCCCACGGGCCCACCGGGTCCTGGAGGTAGGAAAGGGGTGTGGCACAAAGGGGTATGGTGCCAATCGTGGAAATGGCGATGCTATCTGCGATAAATCACATCGCCAGAGTCCCCTTTACATGAAATTAGCACCACACCCCTTTATACCATACCCCTTTCCTACCTCCAGGAGCTCTCCCCGGGCCCTCGGGCGCTGCCACCCGGGCCCTCTCGGCAGCTGCGCGCGCTGCTCTTGCACGGCTCCGCTGCGCGGGGGTGTGCCGTGCTGCCCTGTGCTCGGGCCGTGCAGCGCAAGGCTCAGAGGAGGAAGATGTACCCCTTACCTCTACCCTTCGCCCGTTTTCCCTTTTTGGGGGCCTCCTCGGAAGCCCTCTTCGCCACCGCTGGATTCGCCTCGGAAGTCTGGTCAGAACGCACCCTGGGAGAGGTCCAGGGAGTAGGGGTATCGGTATCTCCTGGTCTCCCCAAAGGCAGTGTGTAATCTGCGCGGTGCAGGGCCATGCTGTGCTACGCTGTGTAGCGCTCTGCGATGCTGCAGGTGGCTGTGGTTGTGCGATGATGCTACCGAGGAGCGCAGTGCCCGGCCATCCATGTTTGTCTACGTCAGGCTATTCGATGCTACCCATGCGGTGCTATGCGTCCCAGTGTAACGCTGCGAGATGAGATCTTGTATTGAGCTTTGGCATTATGTGCAATGCAGCGCCGAGTTGTTAACCGAATCGTCGTAGACCTGGGATCGGCGTCCCATGCGAAGCGCTAGCCGCATTCCATTTGGACTCAACACAGAGCCCACGTCGAAAGGTAGGTTCGCTGTGTTGCCATCTTGGCTCGAGAAATCTCCGCCCAGGCCAGCGCTTGATCGAGCGTGGGCGGCCGTTTTTCCTGGCAGCTCTTCGCGTGCGGTCGGAAGCAGCGGGGTGCACGGGGCTATCTTGCCCGGACGAGTGGCAGACCGTCCCCGCGAAGGGCAGGTCGGGCGTGTGCCGAGCGGACTCTGCCCTCTGGCGCCTCGGAGTGCTCGGGCCTGGCGGTGAAGGGCAACCGCCTCGGTGGGACTTGTCCGGTACCGTGGGGCGCGCGTGCGCGTTCTGCATGGAGGTTCGCCGACGTGCACGTCCCAGGTGGATACCTTTAGACGCCATCAGCGAGACCCCAACTTGTCCGATGGGGACCACAAACAAACACACACAAAAAACAATCAAACACAAACGCGCACAAAACAATACCAGACAGAACATGAAAAACAACAAACAAAAACCACACACGCACACAAACATGACTCCAGTATGGCTCTGACTTTGCATTCCCAGGTTTGCCTGGAGTGCCTCAGAAGATCAAATTATCCTTGCCCCATGTAACGTTGTCAACGCACAGCCTTACCGGATTCGTGCCCGTATATGAGGCACGAGGTACGAGCTTTGCGCGTCCGAAGGAAACGACCCAAACAGTATTCAAGTAGCAGTCTTACCCAAGAACGCTGGTCTCAGGTGCCGTATGGTGTCAAGTGCTCTATGGAGTGCCTCAAAAGGTTCGTGTCCATGTGTCCATGTGCGAGGCACGAGGCAAGGGCCCAGGGCCTCCGAGCGAAATGGATAACACAATCTTCCTGTTGCGGGCGCTTGCAGATATCACCGACCCGCGCGACCTGTCCCAGGTGAGCACGCTGGTGCCGATGAACTGGGCATTCAAAATCAATACTTCGCAATTCGCTGACACTGCGAGAGGATAGCGGCAGCAACTGGCGCCGCGATGAGGCTGGGCTTGTCATTTGTTTGCTCGCTCGTCTCATGGCGGGATGACTCGTCTGGGAGCTCGCGAGAAGGTCTTGGAGCCTGTGCAGCGTGGCAAGCAGAGGGGCAGGAACGACTTCGGCGCACTGTGCACGACATATTTGGGCGCGTGGCACGTGGCTTTGCCATCCAGCTTCCCGATTGAAGAAGACCGAGGCCACGTTTATCGCGCGATCCAAGCCAGTGCTCAGCCGTTTTCAGGACTTCGAACTTTCAAGCTACCGAGCGTACATCCTAAGACTGTCTGCTCATTCTTGGTTGAGAACGAGTTTTGTATCTCATGAAAGGATTGCCGCAACCAGGGTGGCCGGAGGGCGTTGGCTGGGAGGGTTGAACGGGTTATGCGGGGTCCGCCCGTGCGGTTGGTTGGGTTTCTCGTTGCGGGGGAAGTTTGAACCATTTCTGTCCCCGTGATTGTGAAGGTCTTACGGCGCGTGCCGCCGACCCAGAATGACGACGACGATGACCACGACGACAACGACAACGACGAGCCGTTGACCCTGCCACAGGCTCGGGATATGAGGCGGGCGGTAGAGGGAAGAGGAGGAAGAGGAGGCTGCGGCGGCGGAGGCGGGGGAGGAGGAGGAGGAGGCGGGGGAGGGGTAGGGGGAGGAGGAGGAGGAGGAGGTGGACGACGACGACGAAGAGGATGAGGAGGAAGAGGAGGGGAAAGAGGAGGAGGAGGAGGACCAGTGTACTCTTAAGAGGCATCAGCGATGTTGGAATAAACCCTCCCTCCAAGCTCCCCCCTCATAGGCTCCTACAACGGTTAATTTTTATTGAGGGAACTGCCTCGTTTGAAGACAGCTGTTTGAAGACCCTGAAGCATGCCAAAACATTTCAACGCCATGTGTTGCTAGATATGTGGTTTGATTTAGGAGCTGCAGCCTACGTGGTGGAATGTACGTGCTTTTGTCTATGTGATACTAGCTGGGTGGTGGAATCCACATAGTGAAACCTATGTGGTCCATGCACTATAGTTGGTGCTATATCTTAGGTGTATGCTGCGTGGTGAAATTAACGGTTGTTTGCAGTGAGTTGTGAACTCCACAGCTCGCGGAATCATCCCGCCCACCGTTCCGCAATGTGCGGCCGCGCTAGAGCGTGCAGGTTCGCGCGCGGAGCGGCCAGCTAGTCTGTCTCAACCGACGCGGTCGCGGTGGCGCTGACCATTGGGGTCTTCCCAGCGCGTCTCGCAGGCCGCGCTGCGAGTCGGTGATTCGGTCGGGCGCGGTGCCATTACGACGTCGACAACCGCAGACAATATGATGATAGTAGCGATGCTGGCGACGATGATTGCGATGAGAGTGACAACGCCAATGACGTCGCCGATGCTGATCACGCCGATGACGATGATGGTGTCCATGTGTCGGTGGTGAAAGTTCTGGAGAGATTTCGATATGCGCGCGCGGCCGACGCGTGCGAGCAACCCGTATTGTGTTATTTGACAGGGTCGCGCCCCCCTCCCCGCCAGCACGCGCGCAACGGCGTTCGAATAATTTCGACATGCGCGCGAGAGTCCCGTCAAATAGCATGTGATGCAAATGTCGAAAACCATTTCAAACATCGCAAGAGGGCACGATCAGACTTTTGTGCTGATCATGTTTCAAAAACAGTGTGTTTTTGATGTTTTCGGGGCACTCTGTTTTAATCACCCTACGAGTATGTTCCAGTGTTTTGAAGGAGTTTGACATGCCATGCGCGCTCGACGACCCGCGCGTGTGCATGCCGCCCGTTCCCTTGCACGGGACAGAGTGGACAGAGCGTAGTTGTTTGACAAACGAGTGTGCGCACATAGTATAGTTTCACGAGGGTGAAAAGGGGGATGCCGAACCCGGTTTTAATGGGATGTAGTGGTTTCAAATGTAAAATGAATGATGGAGCATGCTCCAGTTGCGCGACCCCTGACCGGACCGAAAGGTTTGGTGGGGGAGGGGGGATACTCTCACTTTTTCAAAGAAGAGACTATGTGGTGTGCGATGCGACTGCACTGCAACGGGTGGCGACGGACGGCGGCGACGGGCGGCGACGGCGACAACAAGCGCGGCGACCGACTCCAAATCGCAGAAGCAGCGGGGACGGACGGCGGCGACGGGCGGCGACGGCGACAACAAGCTGGTTGGACCGACGCCCAGGCCCATTTCCTTCCAGACGAAGAGCCAACCTCTCAGAGCAAACGATGGCTGGGGAACTTGTGCTATGCGTGCGTCGGCACCCCAACGCGCGACGCGCATATTCAAAACTCTTACAGTGTAGGTTCGATGGCGGGCGGGCGCTTTCTGACCATCCTGCCTTGGTAACGATGTCCTTTAACATATTTATACTGTGTGTGCGGTTTGGACGTGCATTTTGCGGGGTGCGCATCATGTTAGTATGTCTGTTTTACGTTCCATGTTGTCCTGGCCTGATCAAATCGCAGAGTACGAAGAACTGAACTAAGCATTCGATGCTTCAGTTCCCCCAGGTGGACAGCAACGGGCACGACAGCGATGTGACCCTGCTATGCGGCCACCAGGCTGACGAGGGTGCTGGGCTGAGGCGGGCCCGCAGCCCTGCTTTCGGCTTTCCTGCTTCAGACTCTTGCTGCTGCTGGTCGTCTTCTTCGTTATTTTCCATCCCGTAGCCATTCTTCTCAGACTCTAGCATTGGTTGCGCGGCTTTTCCCCTGCTCGCAGAGGTGGTCAGTTTGCTTGCCACGGTCCGTGTGGGTTGCGGCGGCGGTCATTCCGCTGCACCGCGACGTTGTTTTCTCGTTTCTTCTGGAAAAACACGCGTTTCAGGAGCATTCCTCGGCGAGCATGGCACGAACCGGTGCGGTGCACGCGCGGCGGCTCGTCGACCAGGTGCTGGATCTGAGCTTGCCGTTTCTGCCCGTGGCGGGCTTGTCCTGCCCCCGGCGGCCCCTCCAAGTGCGAGGGGTTCGGAGCTGGTATCGACACGAGACTGCGACAACTAGCCACGTGGTTTCGTTTTACAGACCTTTCGCCCAGCTCTTGCGAAGATGTGTGTGTGTGTTATGGCGCCCAGCCCGTATCGGCCGAAAAGCCCTGTGCTCAGATGAAAGTCACTTGCCGAACACGAGTCTGAAATTGTGTCTGAACGCGTCGAGTCCTCGAGATTGTGGCCGAAATTGCGAATCGCATTGGGTTCGATGCAAGAAATCTGCCATATCAGGGCACGTTCCAGAAATTGCGTGCGCCAGCTTCGGTTGCGCTCGGGCAGATTTCTGGTCGCAGTTTCGGCCACTCCACTCCCCTGATAGGAACGAACCTACGTAACGCGCACATGCAGGAATGTCGGGCAGGCTTCCCTCCAGGGGGGTCACAGGACATCTGCCACCATGCCACTGTCTAACGAGAGACACCACAGAAGACGGCTGGCGCAGAGGGTCTGCTGCGAGTTGTGCCCGTTGTCTCGTTTGCAACGCATTTTTGATCGACGCAGTTTGTCTCATTTGCTGGTATATCCTCTACTGAAGTGCTCCTTGAGTGGCAGCGTGAATCCCACACCCGATTCGAGGGGTGCACGCCCCGAACTTCACGCACAATTTATCGAGCGTTTGGATGTGGGGCACAGTGTTCGCTCGTGCCACCGTTGTTACGAATGATGCTGCGTGATCCTCAACTGTGCGCCAGTCGCTCTTCTGGGGCGATGCTTCTTTCAAGATGCGTGTCGTTCTTATTTTGAGACGGTTCTTGTTATTGCCTTCCGTCCCCATGTATTTGATTTCAGCCCGTTCTCATGGTCTCGCGAGCGCTCGGGAATCGGTCAGCCCCCCGCTTTTCTCGACCTCTACCTATGTCATGGTGAGGATGTCGGCAGCGGCTGTGCACGCGCCTTCGTCGATGAGAGAGGGAAGTTAGAGCGGGAGGGACACCAAGACGCGCAAACCCGCCAAGGCAGACATGGCTGGCGCCTGCGGGGTGGGTAACTGGGTATCTCCAGGTTCAAATGCTGCGACTGCGAACCCATCAGTCTTCTCCGCGGGCGCTCGGGAAGCTCTGTCACGCAGAGTTCCTGACCTCGCCTCGCTGCCCGAGTGTGACTGTGCCGCCTGAGCGCCGTCGCTCGCCACAGGCCGCTGACAGAAGCTATGTCTTCTCCTGGGGCGCCCCTGGAATGGAGGAGCTGCACGCCGGGCGTGGGGCGCTGCGCTCGTAGGCGGGGGCCGGGGGGTCCCCGCTTCCACGATTGTCAGGCACGCCGCCCCGCCCAGCGAGCGGAAACGAGGGGGAGGAGGCTGTCCGGTCGGCAGGGTGGCAGCCATGCGCGCAGGACTCTGCAGGACTGCACGCAGGCACGCATCCAGGCGAGGCGGCCTTCACCCTCACGCTCTGTTCTGCCTGCAGGCGTCCCGCGGCAGGCTGGAACCCTCGGTGTCTGCCACGCGCCCCACCCGTGCTTGTCTTCGTGGGGGGGGGGGGCCCTGAGGGTGACCATCGCACGGGCCGCGCCTGTGGCGACAGTCGCGCGAGGCGAGGCTGACTTCTGGAGGTCACGGAGAGTGACGTCCGTCCCGAAGATGGTAGCCTACAGTCTGGGTGTTGACACCAGGGCCATGACTGGTTCAGGAGGGGCTGCGGTGTTCGGGCCGTGTGGAGGAGCCCGTTCGGTTGGCCGAGGCTCACCGTGGGCCTGCGCTCTTTGTGGCAGCACGGCGACCGTATTCTGTGGAGCGTGGCGGGCATGCCACCGAACGTGTTGCACCAGGGGTTCGGGCAAGGCAGTGCAGCTGTCGGTCTGCCGCATGGGCATCCGTACCGAGGATCAGCATGCGGATCATGCCAGGGGTCCCTGCGTCAGTCGTGTCGGCAAACGCCGAGGTGCGTGACATACCCGTGCTGTAGACTGTTGCCAGGTTGATCTTGGAAACATGGCCGAGCCTTCCTGGCGCAAGTGTGATGTGGAGGCCAAAATCACGAGGAGATGTGCAGAATACCACCAGCTTGTTGGGGGCATACATGCTGTTTGGTACTACATGTTCCGACCTCTCCGCTGGCGATTCGAAGTACTCTGTTATCCCCGCCGGCGAGCTGATAACACTCCACCAAACGGTGATGACGTGGTGTTCGATGGATCACTCGATGGACTATGTCACCATTAGCCTGTTGTCCATTCGGCCCGGAAGCTGCAAAGCGAAGATGCGCCTCCTAAGTGCCCAGAGCATGGCGCCGCAGGCACTGGGCACGGATGCAGGTGACCAGCGCACGTCTACACTCCAAGGGGCGGCCGCCCAGTGCAGTTCGCAGAGCTAGTGCAGTGCGGCCTTGCCACCGCAGGCCTCAGCAGGAGTGGCGTGATCAGGCAGAGGGCCGCCAGTCGAAATCACAAGACCCCGAGGGGGGCATTGCTTCGCGGCAGCGTTCCGCCTGCGCAGTGCACGGCCATCGGCTACGGTACTGGTGATGGCTTTTGCCGCTTGCTATTTGTGCTTATCGTTCATCCCCCTCTTCCTCCTCGTCTTCTCTCTGCTCTGCTCCCATCCTGATGCTGCGCTTCCTGCTCATCCGCCACGACATGAAGGGCTTCGAATCCATTGGAGGGCACCCATCGATTGGGGATCCGCCCTGCTCAAGTGAGGATTGCGTCTGCGTGCTTGCGTCAGCTTTCATTGGTGACTGCGGCAAGGACAGGGAGAAAAGGGGGGAGTGCTGGGGAGAGGTGGAAAGGGGCTGGGCCATCTCGGCGTTGCTGCTCTTGTGTTACCGCGGACGATGCTGCATGCCGAGTGCTGTGATATTGCATGCGTTTGCAGCGAAGCGCGGCTCCCCGCCCTGCAGCCGCAGCGAGGCCAGACACGGGTTTTGCAGCGCGCAGTGGTGAACGCTGGACCACCCGCGGCCCCTGGAGGCCTCCCGACGGCCCTATGAGCGCCTCCGCGGAACCGCGTGAGGCGTCGGGAGGCCTGCAGAGGGCCAGAAGCATCATGATACTTTTCATGACAGGGGAGGGTTGGGCGGGGGCAGGACCGTCAGAACTCGCTCAAGAGCGTGCCGGACATCTCCGGGAGGGCCTCGGAGCCCGACGCACCCTCCAGAACCTCCAGATCTCAGAGACCCCCGTGGTGTCATGGTCTGATTTGTCCCAGTCCTGGCCAGTTTCACCAGCAGCGTCCAGAAACCTCGGGGGAGGGCGAGGGGGGGGGGGGGCAAGCTAGGTGCGCTCGCGCCAGACCAGACATCTTACCTTTCCCACCCATCCCTTCCCGTTGGGCCATTTTTTCCCTATCCGCCGACACGTATCAGTGGACCTGGAATTCTAAAGAGAACGCGCAATCGGGAAGAAAGGGAGCTGCGTACACTGTAGGAGGAACAGGAGGCTGAGGAAAGAGGAGGACGAACAACAACAGCAGGAGCTGGATTGGAAGGGGTGGGTGGAACGGGAGGACCGGGGCTCGGCTGGGAAGTGAAACGAGGGGTCGGCAACGATGAAAAAGGACTCGGCTCCAGAAAAGAGACCCGCGCTGGGGCGCGAGCGCCATTCTGAGCGACGGCAGCAAAGAACCGGTCCATCAATAAGGTCCACGCTGCAGCGGGTGCACCATTGTGAAACACCGAAAACAATCGGATCGCAAACGACCAGAAGAAACACACAGAGTCTGAAGTCCTGTGTAAAAAAATGTGCGGGAGAGCCGACCATCTTCCGGACAGAGTGAGGGGAGAGAGGATAGTCATACTCATGCTTTGTAAAATTGTGGTGGGAGACGGGGCTGGGCTCCCTCCTCACAATCCTCCTCATCCACCCACCCCTCCTCCTCCTCTGCGCCATCCTTGCGGTTTTGCACATATTGTTGACATGGTGCCATGGAGTCAATCGAGTCGAGTCGGCCCATCCTCCTTTCCCTCCTTCGGAAGGCCGCTTCGCTATCGTCTGCCACTGCATTGCAGACACTTGGCTCGCCACAGTCTCGTCTCGTCCTCCTTCTCCTTCTCCTCCTCCTCCTCCTTCCCCTCCTTCCTCCTCCTCCTCCTCCCTTCTCCTCCTCCTCATCATCCCTCCTCCCTCCTTGATCCTCCTCCTCCTCCTCCTCCTCCTCCTAATCCTCCCTCCTTCCTCCTCCTCCTCATCCTCCTCCTCAACGGAGGAGGGTGAACCCCAAGCCCCGCGTTGAACCTCCTCCTCCTCCTCCTCCTCCTCCTCCTCCTCCTCCTCCTCCTCCTCACTCCTCCCTCCCATCCTCTCCCTCCGCTCCCGCGCCCGCCCCTCGACCGCTTGCCCTGCGGCGCCCACGGCGGCGCCTCCAGGGACGGCGGCGGCCGCCCGCTGCCTGGACCCAGTTCCGCCGCCGCAGCGGCGCCGTCGGTGGGCACGGGCAGAGCGGGGGGGCCGTGCGTGGAGGAGGGGCGCGGAGGGGAGGAGGGAGCCCAGAGGGGGCACCTGTGCCGATGCCGATGCTCGTCCTGGAGGCCCAGATGCGCTCGCGTCGGGGAACACGAATCAGGACGGAGGTCGTCTTCGGCCTCTCGAGTTGAGTCGGTCAAGCCCCTCTAGAGGATGGGTGTTCCAGAATGGTACATAAGAGTCTGGTGACGAATTATCTGATTAGTGCTCCTGATTAGTTGTTACATGTTGTTGTTTTTCCCTTCCAACATCCGCCTGTAGGAGGACATGCCCGACCTAACTCTCGAGGCCCACATGGGGCCCTGGGTCCGTCAACACTCGACTCGGGATGAAGAAGGGGCCCCGGGAAGAGGGTCGAGACTTCTGGAGGGCCGCACACGTGGCGCTTGTCCTGACGTCGCAGGACTTGGGGGCACTCGTGTCCGCGGCCGGCCACACCGCAGAAGTTTGGCCAGAACGGACCACACGTGAGGTCGGGGAAGCAGCAGCATCGTTACCCGCTGGTCGAACCAGGAAGGACGCGAGGTCCTTGGTGGCTTTTCGCCGTTCGACTTGTTGATTCGCTTTGTCTTGCTGCCCGAACAAGGCTTGCACTTTGGGGGGTCATACTTCGGCTGCTTGACAATTGGACGGGTGTGCTGGGGTTTCGGCAGGTGCCCCGTTGGGAGGGCAAGACAGGTGCGCTCGCGCCATATCGGGCATCCTGACCCTTCCAAGCAGGCCTTCGGGAGGGGGAATGGGAATGGGGCGGAGGTGGGGCTGGACCAAGGTGGTAGTGGAGGCGCCGGAGGAAGGGGAGGAGGAGGAGCCGGAAGAGGGAGATGCAGCAGCAGCAGCAGGAAGAGATGAGGAGGAGGAGGAGGAGGAGGAGGAGGAGGAGAAGCAGTAGGATTAGGAGGAGAAGGATCATGAGGAGGGTGAGGAGAGAGAGAGAGAGAGCAGCCAGCGGATCCAGGAATCCGGCCCTGTGCAGGGCGGCGCGGCGGGGCCTCGGCACTTAGATGAATCAGTAATCGTCCACGGCGTCTGACCAACGTGAACCAGTCCTCCGTGTCGACGCCAGTGGTGTGGCTGAGAAGGTGTCCACTGCAAAGCCCAGCCACTGCAAAGCCCAATTCGCCCACGAGATTTCCGGTCTCTGTACGTAGTCGATGCCACCTTTTGCAAGCCGCAGACCGCAGAACAGAGATCCAATCGGAAATATGGAGACGTTGCACATGTTGCTCTGTGTCGCGGGTAGCCCGTCTCACCCAATCGACCCAAGATTCCAAGCAAGCTTGACTACTGAAACTGCAACTGCTATCGCTGCTCGGAGAACATATTGTTTTGGCCGTCTCGTTGGACGTGCTCTGATTCTCGTCTGCGTTAACCCTCCTTCTCGGTGTGCGGACGATCATTCGGAGCATTCGTCGCTGGGATCGCCGCACTTTGTCCTCCAGAGGCTTTGTGAGAGACCGTGCTTCGCAGCTGTACAGCATGGTCGAAGATACCGTGCTCTCAAAGAGCCGAAGACGGGAACTGACGTAGTACGGATTATTCGTAAGTTCTGCGCGGTGTGAATAATAAGCTTTCCCCATGCCATCGAAATTATGTGATCGATGTCCGTTTCGTTCGTGGTGTTGAACAGAATCTGTCTTCCCAGATATTTCAACGCGCCCGAGAAGATAATGATTTCGATGCTCATGTCGGCGACCCTCGCTGCAGCTGCTTTTGGTCGCCTCGTGCACAGCGTAGCGCTGCTCGAGATCTTCGTCCTGTCTGGGTGGAGCTCCGGACCTCTCTCCCGGGCTGCAGCGCGAATGTCTTGAAGCATGTTCCAAACTTGGTATAAAGGTGTGCCAACCCACAAAACATCTCAAGGGAACCGTGGATTTGTGATCTAACAAGCTTGTTCAATCTTGAGCTCCCATCCTTTGCGTTTCCAGCCAGCCTTGACGACGCACATGGCATCCTCCAAGAGCGCGCTGAACAACAGCGAACTGAGAGGGTCGCCTTGTTTTGCGTCGCGCTGAATTGAGAACTGCTTGCTCGTTCTGTCGGTGCGCACTCTTGCAGTCTTTCCTGTGTACAAGTTTTCAAGACGAGCAAGTAGTTATCCGTCCGGCACGCCTTGTGATTGTAGCGCTGTTCATAAGTTGTCTTGCTTGATTGTGTCGAAGGATTTTGCGAACATTCAGAGCGGCTATCCACAACGGCTGCTGGAATGTGTAACATCTCTTTAGTAACATCGTGACCCTGCGCCGAGCTGAAATTGCTTCAGAACCCAGCTTGATCCTTACATTGATGTGCGGCCAGTATCGGGTACAGCCGCGCGTACAGCAGTTAGGCGAATGGCTTGTGCAAGACAGGGCTGATCGTGATAGGACAAGAGTTTTGTGCATCGGCAACATTGCCTGACTTGTGGATTGCAGTGATCATCGATTCTTTTCAGGCCTGCGGTGGCACCGCCGCTGGGACGACGACCTGGTTGTAAAAGTCCAGCAGTCCATGTACCAAGTAAGGGCCTCGGGATGCTACCATCTCGGCGATAACCCCAGCTGTTGGCACGACCAGGTTTGAGTTTCTTGATATGTGTACGCAGCACTTTCATGTAAGAGCTGGTATTGGAAATGCGATTGGAGATTCAAATGGTAGTTGCATCTGACTTTACGTTAAGCCGGGTTGAAGAGCACAACTACGAGGAAAAGTTGACAAACATTCGTGCGGGATGAGGTCAGGTCGCAAGGCCACATCGCCCAAGATAGGATCCACTTGTCGCAGCCGCTCGCCTGCCTTGTAAAAGGTGCAGACGCACTGGACATTATAGAATAATGCATTCGTGACCCCCAGTCGGTCCTGCCCGTACCATGCTGTCAACAATTGCATTGCCATCTATCATCTTGAATACCGTACCCGTATAATTCCAAAATGTTCCTGACATCTTCTTCAGTGTAGCTGCCAACCTCAGCATTCAAATCCGCGGCAACAACAGCAGCAACGCATGCGTAGTTTTTGGGCCTCTTGCCAGAAAGCTTTACAGAACGGCACACAAATTTGAACATGAGAATCGCCATAGCCACTTTGTGGAAGTATGCAGCCACCAATGGGAATCGAACTCTACGACGTGGCATGTCAACGTACGCCACTTTTTCAGACATCCGTGTGAAACCGTGGACGTGTTTAGCCCACCTTTGGTGTATGATGGTTACAATCTCCCTCGCGCCTGGACAATATTTGTGGCCTCTTGGGATTGTTCTAGGGCGGTCTGGGGGCCCATTTGGGCTGTCTTAGGGCCTTCTTGGGCCGTCTGGAGCACTTCCGGGGGCTCTTTTGGAGCGTCTTGGGGCCATCTTGGGCCACTTTGGGGCCATCTTGGAGCGATCTCGGGGGCCTCTTCGGCAGTCTCGAGCGCTTTGGAGGCCGAGCAGCCGAGCATGCGAAAATGGCACCGAAACCTAAGGAAAGCTCATAATTCGTGCCGCCTGGGCGCCGCTTGAGAGCTGTCTTCGGGCCCCCTTGGGGCATTTGGGGAGCACGTTGGGCCGTCGAGTGGCAATCGTGGGCCCATCTTGGGCCATCTTGGGGCCCATCGTCCTCTTGGGCCGTCTTGTAGTGCCAGCTGGAGCTCTTCCCTGAGGCTGATCGCTGACGACGTTGGTATTGACGCTCGTCGTGGTCGGTATCCCCTTGTTGGCACGAGGATGTCCAGATCATAACCATGTGTCTTTACCTTGCTATCGGCTTCGACTGTGCCTCGCTGACTTGACACTGGCTCGCCGGCGGCTGCCGCCTCGCGATTGCCACACTGAACGCGTGTGTTTTTTACCTCGTCTGCCTGTCCTCCTCCTTCCCCTCCTCTCCCTCTCCTCATCGTCCTCCTCCTCCTCGCGCGGCTGCCTCTTTCGAGCCAGACCGGGGTGATTCTGGCCGCAGCATAATACAGATTCGTTTTTCGACATCCCCCGCTGCGGGAAAAGAGCCAAGTTTTGTTGGGAGAGCGTTCTTCTAAGCAGTGGCGGAAAATCGCCCGCGCACCGAGTCCGTGACATTTGTTTGTGCCCCTGCAGTCCAGGATTTGTCCGCCGGTGGCGTTGTAGGCATCTGATGGCGAGTGGTTTCATTCTTCGCATTCGGCCTCACTCATGGCTGGTGGAGGTCTGAGCAGGATTAAGAGAATCATGTTGCGCACAAGTGAAAAAAATCGTGGGGCCCATCGTGGCCGACCCGAGTCGCTCGTCGGGCCCTCCTGAGGCTTCCTGGGGCCCTTCGGTGTAACCTTTGCACCATCTGAGGCTCTCTTGGGCCCTCGTGGGGCGCTCTGGAAGCAGGACGGACCCGGAGTTGTGCCAGGTCAGTTTTCTATGTATATCGGTTCTCGTTGGATTCGCATAACTATCAATGTAAACCTGTTTCTAGATATTAGTGTATTCGAGGAGCTTTTTCACATCAATTGATTGCGCTGTTTAACATGTCTGTCTAAAGGCGTCCTCTGTGTTTCTTGCGTCACGTCCTCCCTGCCTATTTGTTCAAATCATTGTGCTCTTCCCTGGTCGTCGCTGGTGACTGGCCGCGGGGCCTTCGGGCCTGTTTGGGTCTGGTGTTAGAGCGGTGTTCGGGATTTTGTTTGTCACATTCTTAGTTCTACGATCTGCTCGCCGAGCCGCAGGGACGGGAGGCGGCAGGAACGAGAGAGCGGAAGCGAAGACGGCAATGAAGACAAGGAGCAGCCTGTTAGACAAGCAAACAACAAACGCTGAACACACGACTGTCCACGGCGGTGGACCTGAAATCTATGGAACACCATGGAGCAGCGCGAATGTACGGAACGCTTCTTTCTCGCGTACAGACTGTCAGGAGCCCGAGTGCAACATGTTTTCACATCGCCCGGAGCGCTTTTCAGCAGAGCCGGAAGGTCTGGGGGGGGCTTCTTCGGGGGCCCTCCCAGAGGAGGAGGAGGAGGAGGAGGAGGAGGAGGAGGAGGAGGAGGAGGAGGAGGAGAGGGAGAGGGATGATGATGATGATGATGATGATGATGATGATGATGATGATGGAGGAGGAGGAGAGAGGAGGAGGAGGAGGAGGAGGAGGAGGAGGAGGAGGAGGAGGAGGGGGGGGGAGGCGGAGGAGGAGGAGGAGGAGGAGGAGGAGGAGGAGGAGGGGGAGGCTGGTCCCTGGCCCGCCGTGGGACCACCTGGAGCCCGACAAGCTTCCCGGGAGAGACCGCAGAGCGCCCCACGCGACGCGCCCCCGGGGGCCGCGCGAAAGGGCCCCGGAAGATGCGACAACTTTGGGCCCGGGCCCGTTTCTAAGGAAGCCACAGGCTTGAGGACCGGAGGGGGGCCCCGAGGACCGTCCAAGAGCCTGTTTTTCTTTAGATCCAGGCAAGCTTACTTGCATGGCGTTCGCCCCCCCCCCCCCCCCCCCCCCACACCTCCCCCTCTCCCCCCTCGCCCCTCTTCAGTCGAACACGAGCGTGCAGGTGCCCTTCGACTTGCGCGATCTCCGCACGTCGAATTGTTTTCGGCTTGCTTCAGACTCAGCCCCCCCCGTCCATGCAAGTAAACTTGCCCGAATCCAAAGAAAAACAGGCTCTTTTAAGGAAGCCACAGGCTTGAGGACCAGAGGGGGGCCCCGTGGACCGTCCAGCTCGTGGCGCAAGGGTACGGTGGCTGGTACAGGAGGAACGGAGGGCCGAGACAATGGAAAGGGAAGGGAGCGGGCGTTTCGGATGACGACGGGGCCGTGGAGGGCGAGGGGGATAGAGGAGAAGGGTGCCGACGGGACAGGGGAGAAGCAGGGGAACCAGTAACTTGAAGAGGGGGCAGGATGGAAGAAAACGGGAGGGGAATGTTGAAGGGAGCGTGGGGGGGGAGAGGTAGAGGAGGAAGAAGAGAAGAGGAGCGAGAAAGAATTTGGAGTGGGAGAGGAAGACGAGGACAATACACATATAATGTATGAGCAGGTGGAGGAGAAGGCCTCGTTAACGGGAGAAAGAACAGGAGGACGAGGTGAGGGAGGAGGGAGTGCGGAGGAGATGGAGGGTGACTGGTGGCGATGTGCCAGATGAGCAGGGGGAGAAGAGAGGAACAGGATGAGAAGGAGGGAGGCGCTGGATGAGCTGGAGGAAGAGCAAGACAGCACGAGGAGAGATGGCAGGAGGCAGGGAGGAGGACAAGTAGACGACGGGGACGGGGAAGAGGAGGAAGAGCAGGAGGAGGAGGAGGGGGAGGAGTTGGTGGATTATGTTGCTGATGATGGTGATCAGGTGGAGGAGGAGGAGGAGGAGGAGGTAGAGGAGCAGGAAGAGGAGGAGGACGAGGAAGAGGAGCAGGAAGAGGCAGTCGTGGGCCACTGGGAGGCATCCGCATCCGAACTGGGCCAGGCGGGACTCCGGCGACCGGAGCGGAGGCCACCGCGCGCCCCAGGAAGAACAGCGGGCACACGGGCCCAGCGGACTGCAGCAGCCAGCCAGGCCAGGAACGCGGCGGCCTGGCCTGCCCTCTCCGCCCTCCCGCCCCCGCCCCCTCCCCCCTGCACCCCCTCCCCGCCCGAGCCCCCTCGGCTCGAGGCTCGGGGTCCTCGGTCATTTCGTGGGCTCTCGGCGGTTCTCCAGCCTCGGGCTGTTTCCAGCGACTGCGCCTCGCCGAGAGCGTTCTGGGGGTGCCCAAAACCGTGCCGAACAGCCGTCGGAGAGCCAAGTTATGACCCGAAAGCCTGGTGCAACATGGGGTCCCCCCCTCATCATGACTGTTCCCCGCCGCTCCTCGATCCTCCTCGATCCCGCTCGTCAATCGCTCCCCCCTCCCTCATACCCTCGCCTCCCTGCTCCACGTCCCGCTGCGTCGTGCTGCCCCCCCCCCCCCCCCGACGGGCACAGCGTCCCGTGGCGTCTCGGGCAGGCTGCCGCCGCCAGCAGCTGCCAGGCCACGCCCCAGCTTCCGGAGGCGGCAGGCGGCCTGCCCCAGCAATTCGGATGCCGCATGTGAAAGGAGGAGGAGGACGACGACGAGGAGGAGGAGGAGGAGGAACGTGGAGGAGGGTCGAGAACGCGCACACATGGATTCGGGCGCGTGGATCAGCGACGGGTCCCGCTTCTGCACAGAATCGGCGCGCTCATTCGCCAAATCAGGCGGCGCCACGCCGTCCGTAATCCATGTTAGCGTGTGCCCGAGAGGCGGGAGGAGAGGCAGGGGAGTCGCGTTAGGATTAAAATAAGTAAGAAGGACAAACAAGGCGGAGAGCACATTGATCTTTGCTATGTCGTGCGCTACACGCCTGGTTTAAGACAAATTTGGGGCGTCGGCCGTTTGAGTATTTGATTCCATGACGTACCTCATGTAGGGTCTATTGTGGTTTTCACACGCTCACATCAGCACGCCGCCATGCACGTGGGCAGAAGATCAGGCTCAACCAGTCGCAGTCGAAGTGATGTATAATGCTGCGCCCGCTAGACTGATCAAGAGGAGGAGGAGGAGGACGGAGGAGGACGGAGGAGGACGGAGGAGGACGGAGGATGAGCAGCAGTTCTGGTCCAGCAGCCCAGCGGGTCTTGGGATCCAGGCCTGCGCGGACCTCCGTTCATGGGCGGCGGGAGCAAGAACGGGGTCGACCTTGCGGGCGCCCACGCGTGTGAGCCTCCCGCGGCAGTTCGCGCGTGGACGCGCCCTCCTTCTCCACGCAGGGTGCCACGCTGGCAGCCCGCGCGAACCGCGGCGGAGGTCGAAGAAGAAGAAGAAGACGAAGAAAAGACAGCATGAACATGGATCCGCGCGGATTTCTTGGATCCGCGCTGGGCCCCCCCACGGCGCTTCCGGCGCCGCGCCTGGCGCGTTCCGCGCGCCAGGGAGGAGGGTCCAGCGCAGATCCAAGAAATCCGTGCGGAGCGCCAAAAGTTTATGTTTATGCTGGTTGTCTATTTTTCTTGTTATTCTTCTTATTATTCTGATAAGGTCGCTGTGTCTTCTTGCATGCGATCCGCTTATCTTCGTCGCTCCCCCCGCCCCCGATGGAGCCGCCCCGCCCCGAGATCCGCCCCGCCCCCCCCCCCCGCCCCCGGTGGAGCCGCCTGTGCCCAGCAGAGCGATCGAGGACGCTCGAAGAACCCCATCTACCCCTTAGGCGATGCTTAAGAAAACTTAAGTTTTCGGCCAGAGTCTCGATTATTCTTAACGTTTCAATTTAAATCTTAAGATTTGAATAGAAATGTTGGGTTTTTTATTCAAGTTCTGAGACTATGAATTTCTTAACCCATGATTTCTTAAGCATTTCGCAGGGTGTAGAGCCGGGCGGCTGGGAGCGGTTGCCCAGCCCCAGTTGCGGCCAGCAGCGGCGGCTCTGCCGGGAGCAGAACTGCACAAATCCATGCACGCAGTCAGGCGCATCGCAAACTTGTCAACTGCACAGCCAATCTGGCAACGACCACGTCGGATCCCCCATCATTCTAATCGCTCGAAGCGCCGTCAATGTCCTGCAGGGCGGATGGCGTCTTACGCGTGATGTGGACGATATCGTAGTCAGACTACGATATCGTCCAGGTGCGTTTGGGCCAGACTACGGTAGTCTTGCCCAAACGCACCTGGAATGCGTGCGCCAGTCACCTTATCAAACACATTTTCGATACTGGTTCCAGCGTTGCCCCTACTCCTGCTCCCCTCGAGTCTAACCTGATTTTGCACACTGTTGGAAGGCATTTGCACACATGCAGGTGCACTGACGCTGTTGCCTGCCGAGGGTTGTGCATTTCAGCGGCCCTGGTGTTTCTTTCCAAGATGTACACCGAAGAACTGGATTCATTGTTCACGCTTGAGGCCGTTGTCCGAGAAGAAAAATCGTTATTCAACCATATAAGTGCTTTTGGATCGAAATCAACACGGCTATTCGCATCATCATATTTCCATCGTTTTTGTCTTATGTTTTCTCCCCTCGCTCCCTCATGATCCATTTCTTTTGCTCCTCCTTCGCCTCGTTCTCCCGTTTCTCCTCCTAATCCTCCCTTTGCTCTTTCACCTCAGCGTCGTCCCCACCTTCTTCTCTTCCCTGACCCCCTCCTTCTCAACCTCCGCCTCTTATCTGTGACGCTAGGGGACCCGGCGCGATTCATCAGCTTGGACAGGGATCTCCCCAACGACGACTGCCGAGGCCAGCAGAACCATCAGTATATACGTTGATCTTGGAGCGCAGGTTGACCAGGATAATGTGTGTGATGTTTTGTGCTTTCTCACAGTGCAAGTTCATTTGATCAATTGCGCGATTGTCAGAAACTCAATGATACTGCAGCTGGGCTGCTCCTCAGTCTCCTTGCTGGCGTGCCGTGGGAGTTTCTCAAGGTGCATTCGGCCCATCCCGACAGCGTGCTGGGGTCGCGGACAAAAGGTCTTCTAGAGGCCTCTTGGTTTCTTCTGTGGCCTCTTCTGCGCCCCTTGGCGGCCTCTCGGAGGTCTTCTGAGAGCCTCCTGGGGGCATCCCGGGGGCCCGCGGGGGCCTTTCGGGCGGCCCCTTCCTGGGTCCAGCTCCGGGGTCCTGTCACGAAGCGGCTCCTGTGCTCTCGAGTTTTTCTGGGTCCTTGTGTGCAGGGTCAAAATGAGAGTGTACAGTCATACACCTTGGGCGATGCTTGAGAAAACTTACGTTTTCGGCCAGAGTCTCGATTATTCTTACTGTTTCAATGTAAGTCCTAAGCTTTAAATAGAAATGCTGGGTTTTTTATTCAAGTTCTGAGACTATGAATTTCTTAACCCATGATTTCTTAAGCATTTCGCAGGGTGTATCTGTGTTTACATATGTTTGTATACGCATATCTTTACAGTAGGTAGAGAATGCCCATCAGCGAGTACAGGCAATGGTTCAGCAGAGGCGGTAAAGAGCAACATCTCAGAACTTCGAGGGAACGGGCACTTGTAGATAGAGCCAACGGGGCGGTAGCAAACATATAGAGAGAAAGAGATGGAGACACAGAGTACAGAGAGAGAGAGGGATAGGGACATATACAACTGTACAAACATATATATATATATATACACATGCATACATGGATGCATATATGGACATATTCGCAGTGCTTGTTTGCGACCGCGGTAAGTGTGAATAGTTGTGTGCGGCCATGGAGGAACATAACGCATGTTCCATACACCATAAAGCGTCATGTGGGCAGAGAGCAAGAAACATACACATATGTCAACATGTAAACGTCCACAGCACAGGTACGCGGGACATCTCCGAGGATACCATGCACAGTTGAGTAGACATCTGGAATCACAGATAGACAGATAAACACACACACGCATATATATAGATATATGTAGAGAGAGAGAGAGAAAGAGAGAGATAGAGAGAGAGAGAGAGTGAGAGACAGAGAGAGAGAGAGAGAGGAAGACAGAGGGAGGCAGACAACGAGAGACATCGAGTGATAGAGAGAGGGGGAGAGGGAGAAGGAGAGAGAGGGAGAGAGAGAGAGAGAGAGAGCGACGGAGAGCGATAAACATGTGTTGTATGGAAATAATACATTCTGGAGCACAGAGCGCGTTCCGAAGGCATATAGACATTGAGCATATGTTATTTAATCGCTTCGCTAATTCCGCTGGCCCATATTGCCTCGCCGCTGTCGCTTGGAAGAAAAGGAGGAAGAGGAGGAGGAAGAGGAGGATGAGGATGATAAGGAAAAGGGGAGGATAAGGATGAGGAGGAGGCCTCTCGATTCCTGTCTTGATGACTTGTTGTAACGCTTTTTGTTCAAGGATTGGGTGTCGTTGATGCAGATTGGGGAGAAGGGGGAGAGGGAAGAAAGAAGGAAGGGTTGGTGAGACGATCGGAGGCCTCTCGGGGGCCTCTTGGCGGTATTTCTGGGACCTCCTGGGCGTCACGGGGGCCTCTTGGGGGCCTCTTGGGGGTCTCTTGGGGCCTCTCGGGGGCCTTTTGGGGTGAGGGTTTCTCGTGGCCTCCAGGGAACCGCTCTGCGCCTAGAGCTCGACATGTCCGCTCGGGTCCCTCGTTTGGGCCCGCGCTTAGAGCCGTCTTGGGACAATCTTCGGCCATCTTGGAGGCCTCTGGGGCTGTCTTGCGGTCCTCTGGGGCCGTTGTGGGCGCTCTTGGAGGCCTCCTGGGCCGTGTTGGGGCGATCCTGGAAGTTTCTTGGGCCTCCTAGGAGCACCTGTAAGCACCCATGGCGAGAACGCCAAAAACCTTTTTGACAACTACAGCAAAATCTATAATTTCTGCCTCTGTGGGCCCTCTTGGGAGATCTCTTGGAGGCCTCTGGGGGCGTCTTGCAGCCGCTTTGGGCTGTCTGGAGGCCATCTTTGGCGTCTTGGATCGCTCTTGGGCCGTCTCGAGCCATGTTGAGCTCTCTTCGAGGTCGCTTGAAGCGCTCCTGGGACGCTCCTGGGAGCCTGCTGGGACCTGCCCGGGACCTGCCTGGGACCTTGCCGGGACTTTGCCGGAACCTTGCTGGGACTTTGCCGGGACTTTGCCGGGACCTTGCCAGGACTTTGCCAGGGTATTTTCATCCGGGGATTGAAGGCAAGAGCGCCAAAAGTCTTCAAACATTAAAAGAAAAACACTGGTTTCTGCCTCTGGTGGACCCTCTTGGGAGGTCTCTCTTAGAGGCCTCTTGGGGCCTCTCGGGGGCCTCTTGGGGGCTTTTTGGGGGCCTCTTGGGGCCTCCAGGGAACCGCTCTGCGCCTAGAGCTCGACATGTCCGCTCGGGCCCCTCGTCTGGGCCCGCTCTTGGAGCTGTCTTGCGCGCCTCTTCGGCCATCTTGGAGGCCTTTGGGGCTGTCTTGGGGCCCTCAGGGGCCGTTTCGGGCGCTCTTGGAGGCCTCTTGGGCCCTTTTGGGGCGATCCTGGAAGTCTCTTGGGCCATCTGGGAGTGTCGGTAAGCACCCATGGCGAGAACGCCAAACACTCTTTTTGAAAACTACACCAAAATCCATACTTTCAGCCTCTGTGGGTCCTCTTGGGGGATCTCTTGGAGGCCTCTGGGGGCGTCTTGCAGCCGCTTTGGGCTGTCTGGAGGCCATCTTTGGCGTCTTGGATCGCTCTTGGGCCGTCTCGAGCCATGTTGAGCTCTCTTGGAGGCCACTTGAGGCGTTCCTGGGACGCTCCTGGGAGCCTGCTGGGACCTGCCCGGGACCTGCCCAGGACCTGCCCGGGATTTTGCCGAGACCTTGCTGGGATTTGCCGGGACCTTGCCAGGACTTGCCGGGACCTTGTCAGGGTGTCCGGGGACACCCAGGGGCGGCCCCACGCGCGAGAACTATCATGTTGTTAACCGGTCACTGGAGATCTTGGCACGCCCTTCGCCCGTTGGGCCGGCGATCTCGCACGTCTTGCGATCGAGAAGGAGGGAGGGTGGCACGGAGAGACAGGCAGAGAGAACAGAGAAGAAGAGCGTGACGGCGCGGGTTGGCGTGGAGTGCCTGTGAACGCGTTAGTGAATTCACTGCTTCGCCCATAGCTTGTTTACCATGGTTCTTCACTTGGGCGATGGATCGCGATCGATCGTGTAGCGTCGGGTTGTGTATGTACATACACATATGTATACGTACACATCTCGTTCAAAACCGTATCAGAGCGAGGGAGAGAGCGAGGGAGAGAGGGAGGGAGAGAGAGAGGGAGAACGGGTGGCGATAAAGAGAGACAGCGAGAGAGAGAGAGAAGGACAGCAAGAGTGCGGGGGAGAGACAGCGAACTTTTTCACGCTTCGTATAAAGAGGGTGAGAAAGAAAGAGAGAGGGAGAGAGAGAGAGAGAGACGGAAATAACTCTACATACCTATAAATATATATATATAGAGAGAGAGGCAAGGTGTTGTTTCTTTATTTCTTTCTCCCTTTTCTTTCTCTCTCTTGCAGGTGTGTGCTTGCGCGTGAAGGTGAAGGGAAGTGTGTGCGGTTGATGTCTCCCGTTGCAATAGCTATTATCAAGCCTTTCCCTGTCTCTCCGAAGCGTCGATGGGCTTGGTCCAACTTCTGGACCGATCCCCGATCGTTGTCCTCGCGCTGGGGCTGGCCTGGGCCGGCTGGCAGGCGGTCGAGCTCGGCCTGGCGTCCGCGGGGCCGTCCGACCCCTCGGGCCCGCCGTCGCCCTTGCCTCCTGCGGACTGGTGCCCCGCGGGCTCGCCCGAGTGGCTCGGAGGCGGTCTGCCCGCAGACGCCGAAGTGTCCGGCCTGCCCGCCGTGCCCAGCGTTGGCGTGCGTGGCCCCGACGGCGGTGGAGCCCGAGCCGACCGACGTCCTCATCGGCATCGTGGGCCCCTCCCTCTGTGCTCACCAACCTCATCGGGTTCGTGGTGAGCCGCTGCGTCCGCTGTCGTGCCTGGGGCCGAGGCGCTGCGGAGAGACATGGTGTTGCTCTTTTCGGCGAGGAGGAGGAGGAGTGGTACAGTGAGCTTGGTGGATCCGCGCTCCAGATGGGGATGGGTTTTTCCAAGAAGTAGCGAGCCAGGATCCCAGCGACGGGCCGACGTGCTGCTACCTGCTGCCAGCCGACGGCTGTGCCCCCGCCTGGTCGGCGGGGGAGGAGATGGCGGCCGCTGTATCGGTGCCCGGAGCGGGTCGGCGCGTCCGAGCTGCGCGAGGGAATCCTGCGGGGTCGTAGAGATTGCGAGGCCGAGTGCAGGACGAGCCAGGAGCCAGCGTTGCCAGAGCAGGTGCTGGAGCCGCCGCTGCCCATCCTGACGGATCACGCGCGGGCCCTGGCCGAGTCAACGCCCGCGGCAGCCATTGGGAGCGAGGCGGACATTCGACGTTTCCCCTTCGTGGCCGCGGGCCCGGAAGAAGCAGATCCCGTGCTGCTGGAGGCGCGCGCTGGTGGCGCGGATGCCGAGTGAGGACGCCCCAGCCTACGCCGACGCTTGGTCCGCCGCGCTGCGGGAGACGCTGGGCGCGGGCACCGCGCTGGAAACGGAGGGCGTTGACCTCCCCGAGCGATTGGTCCGGGGACGGGCAGGGGAGGCGACGCAAACCTTGGCGCGGAGCGGTGCATGAGTGCACCCAGTTGGAGTTCAGCCGCCAGCCGATGGACCCCCCGCCCAACGCCACGACGGCTTGCGCGAGCACGTTGAAGGCGGGTGGGGGTCCGCGTCTTTGGCTCAGGGAGCACCTGCATGAAAAGGGCCTGGCACCCGCGGGCTGCTTTGCACGT